CTGATGGGAGAAACTCTTCCCTGGGAGCGCCTTTTCCCACACAGCGAGACACGAGGCGCCAGGCGGGAAGAACCCTGTGACAGGGAGATGGTCCCACCCTGCCACCTCCCCAGGGACAGGTGAGCTGCAGGGGACCAGGCTGAAGTGAGAACCTGGTGGAGCTCAGACTGGGAATGGCCCGTGGAAAGTAAAGCTGCTGATTTGCTGATTTTCCAAGCTGACCTACCAATGGCAAAACCATCAAAGCAAGAGACACATTCCTGAGGTCTGACCCAGCATGGCAAAGTCAAGGAAAGATTCCCACTGAACTCAACAGCCACTGGACTGCGGCCACAACACTTACGTATAGCCAAGACTTATTTATTATTTTTCCCCCATGGTTTTAATCAAGACTTCATCCCACTAGGACTCTGTCTCATCTTGCAACAAGGAAGTCAAATTTATCCTACAGAATCATTTTAAGACAATAGATAACCAAATATATACAGTTAGACATATTACCGTGTAGGTATAAATATAAAAAGCACGTATATATTTTATATACGTACAAATAACCTCTTAAACTAGAGGCCAGCATAAAAAACAGAGTAAACACTGTAATAATTTCAATTATGCAACATATTCTGCCTAACATATTTATTTTTAATGGCAGTCATTTTAATAGCTCTAAGGCCCTGAATTAGTCCAATATGTTCTTAACTATGTTCACTTTAAATACAAATGTTAATGACTTTTCCAGAGGGTCCAGTGCCCTGGATGAGCTTGCTACACAGCAGTATATTCTCCTTAGCGTGTTTACTTTTAATAACAGGTTTAATGATGCACTTGGGGCCTTAATAACCATGTTTAGTCACAAAGAGAAAAACCAGCTACAAAATACTTTCTCTAAAAACTAGGCTACAGGGGATTGCCGCTCTGTTTCAAAGCCACACCAGCCATCCTTTAATGTGCCTCTATGTGTTTTGGCTCTGCCTGCATCCAGGCTGGGGAGCCTGGCCATGGAGGAGCAGCCCTGATCAATTTTTGAGCCTGGTTTTGGGGTGACTTGGGGACCCTGCGCAGCAGCTGAGCTGTTCAGGGTAAAGGACCAAAGGTGGCCTCACCTCCTCCCACCCCCGGTGCTCAGTGGTGGGTTTGGGGAGACAGAGGGCAAATTTCAAAGGAAGGTGTTCCCGGGCTCCAGCAGAGGCATCCTGGGGCTCTCACCGACGCTGCTGGCACAGACGTGCCAAAGGGAACGCGTTTGAAAAATCACACCCACCACCCATTAAAAAAAAAAAAATACAACAAAGCACCAAAAAGCACCACCAACAACTACAAAACCCCACCTCCTACATTTAGCTTTATGAGAGCTAGAAATACCACCATTAAGAGGCAGGCAGGTGACAGCTGCTCTCTCCTTTCCTGCCCAGATCAAGCTGTGGACCTGCAGCCCCACTCGTGTCAGCCCTCCCAGCTGGGGCTGGGGGCTCACCCCCAGGGCACATCCATCCCAGCAGAGAGCCATTCCAGCTCCCCAAAAGAGATTCACCCGGTGGAGTGGCTGGCAGGGCTTCTCTCCCGGCTATGTCCAGACCTGTCCAAGCCCAGGGCTGTGTCCGGACCTGTGAAATCTTGCATGGCCGGGGGATGCTCAGAGCTGCCTCCATGACCTGCGGGCACAGGAGCAGCCTAACCCATCCCTCTCCATTCCGACTGAAAGGTCACCCCCCACAGGGTGTCACAGCTGTCCCCAGTGTGCAGCAGGTCCCCTACAGCGTGTGCTGGCAGGGCTGGAGATACCCCAGGGGCAGCACACTTCTCTCTCCATGCAGAAGCATTCTGGGGCATGCATCTTGCACCAAAAAAAACCCCTTATGGTTTGTCCTAAATATAACCATGGCAGACTTTGCCAGGCTTCAGCTCCACTTGCATGAAAAACACTTGCAAGGCTTGAACCAGCTCTGGTTTGTCTACCTTCTGCCCCAGGGCCTGACTGAAAAGGGAGGGTGGAATCCAATAGCATGTTGTGCATAAAAAGATTATGCCAAAGATAACCTTATTGCTAATAATAACCCTGGAATCTATCCTGTGAATAGGCCCTATTGAATGCTTGAACACAGGCATTCCTCGGTTAGGTTTTTCTGCCTACAAATATTTCACTTGGGTCTTTAAATACTAATCACAGAATTCAGACGAGGGGTTTTTTATCTTCAAAGTGCTGCAGAAAAAAAAAATTAAAATTAATTCATTAATCAAGTATAATTAAAGGGTATAAAAGATGCCTTTTTCCAGAGCAGGGAGCCAACCAGCGCAGCGTGAAGCCATCGTGGGGACTCCAAGCATCTTTCCCACCGCAAACGTGATTTTCCCGGAGCGGCGCCCGGGCAGTAGCTGTGCTTGTTCCCAGCAGCTCTGCTCAAGCTGTCTTCCTGACATGTGTTAGGCTGTATGTCTGCCACGCAGGAAATAGGGTTTGAAGCTCACAGCCAGGAGCAAAAGCTGAGATTGAAGCTTTAATGAAGCTGGGATTGAGTGGCTAGGGTGGTTCAGTGAAGCAGTAAATGCAAACACATTATCACCTGAGAACTTGCTCCAATTTCACACCAATTAACTAGGAATGAGAGAGGAGGGCTGGGGCTGGCTGCAGAGATGGTTGATAATCCTGTGAATGGGCAGAAATGGCTCGAACGAAAACGCGCTTGTGCCAAAACGAGTTTGTTAGATAACGCCAGTCCCGGTAATTTTGTCTTTGGGAGAGAGCATGTCATTACTGGAGCTGCTTTTATTAGCAAATATTAAAAACATTTGCCGAAATACAGTTGCCCGTGAGGGAAGCAGGGGTGGATAAAGTAATAAAGCAATAGCTGATTATTTTATTCCTCTGCCAATGCGTCACATCACAGGGCAAGGGAAGGGAAAAAGGGAGAGGGAGAAGTGGGATGGGATGTGAAGGATTATTGGGGCAAAGTCAGCAGCTCATGGAGGGGAATATCCCATCCTCGAGGAGCCCCTCAGGATGCTCATTCTGGATTTCAGGTGGGTTTGACTTCTAATCCACTGCCAACAGATGTAGGTCTGAACAGGTCCCCAAAATTCACCTTGGCAGCAGCGACGGGGCCCATCCCCGTCCCCTCCACCCAGGAGCCAGTTCATCTTCACAGCATTTTAATATTTGAGTTGTTCCAAAATTTTCCCTGCCGTGATTATTTCCATTTTAGGAGTTCAGGTGGAAGAAAGGCAGCACTTTAGGGGAAGTGCTGTTAAATGGATTTCCATGGATTGAATGCTAAAACAAATCCCATCCTCGGTGTGCCAGGCCCCACATCACCCCTCCAGTCACTGCAGGTTTCAATATCTGGGGAGCAACCAGCCAGATCCTCCAGATCCACACCAGCCATGAGCCATCCTGCAACCAGGAGGCTGCACTGGAGCAAACTCTTGGATGTAAATGAAATATTGTTTTTGTTTTAAAAAGCATCAGTGATAAGGAGTTACTGCAAGTACAAAGGCAAGAACCCCCTGCTGGGTTTTGTGGTGACACAAGGGCCTGGAGAAGATCTCAGGAGAAATCCTGTGTTGTGTGGTGACCCCTGGGGAAGGTCTGTGCCCCAAGAGGGGTTCCTCAGTGCTGCCCCAGCTCTTCTGTGGCAAGGCAGCTTCCAAGAAAGTTGTGTGATTCCTGAGAGCTGCCTGCCCTGCCCTCCAGCAGGAAGCTCTAACAAAATAATTGCAAGAAAGGTGCAAACAGAGGAAAAGCAGTGACTGCAAACCTCTCACTCAATATTGAATTACTCCAGGCTACAGGAGGGGCAGAGATAGCTCCCTTTAAAATCAGGAAAGTGTTTTCCCCGGTGATGAAGGCTGGATAGCCAACAAGGGACCAGGACAAACCATAATATAGTAAAAAACCCAAGTATGGTCCACCCCATTAAGAGCCAAGGAGAGTGCTGGGGCTGGCTGCTGCTCCTCATCTCTAAGCAAGGTGGGCCCTGGATGCTCCTTACCCCACTCTGAGCCTGATTTTCAGCATCCAGCTCACTTCAGGTCCTCATTCCCTTCTGAACAGATGTGGGAAGGAGGAAAAAGCTGCAGCTTAAATAAGCAAGGGTCAGTAACTGCCGAGCCAGGTGCATGAGTATTCTTTCCCCAGGGCAGGTAGAGTGGGGGGCAGGGGGACACCTTGTTCCAGCTGTTCCAGCCATGGGAAGTGGAGATCTGTGGCCTTCCCTGCTTCTGGCATGCAAACCACTCTCCAAAGCAGGAAAAACACTTCCAAGTGGCAGATATCCCATTCCATACACAACGGTGCTCCCGAGCCCCGGTGCAAATCCACAGGGCTCTTCCTGTCCGCGCTCTCCAGCCTGTAATTATCTTAAAGGCAACAATTAAAACTATTGAAACACATGTGATGGGTTTAGGGAGCATAGCTTGGCTAATCCCCACAAGCATCCCGGAGGAGCGGAAGGAAGCAGGAGTTCCCAGGGTGCTGGTGCTTTGCCGGGCAGGTAGGGACCAAGAGGAGCTGCAGGGCATCAAGCTCAGGGTGAGGAGGAGGAGGTGGCAGCAGCTGGTCCCCAGGCTCTGGGAGTCCCCCAGGCGGCAGTGACCAGGCTGGGGGAGCTGCAGGAGGGTCCCCCTGCTCCTCACCTCGACCCTTCCCCGGGTCACACAGAAAGTCAGTGGCAGAAAGACCCCATACTCAAAACCTGCTGTTTAAGCTCTGATTGCCAACTTCAATACCAAAATATTTCATCTACCTTTTTCCATGTCAGTCCAGGACTTAGCACAGTGAGTCCTGTTCCATTCCCTATGTCAGATACCAAAATAAAGTCATGTTCAGACACAGCTCCTTCTCCCTTTCCTACTTCTTTTACTGCAGCATCATGCTGCTGATTCATTTAATGAGAAAAAGTTCTGCAAATACCTGTGATGCTCTGCTTGAGGGGTCCCAAGGCAAGAGCAATGAGATAAATAGTGAGGAATTGCACAAAATATCACTGACCTGTGCTCATCATTTTTTAATTTATTTGTTTTTCAGGAATCATTAGTTTCACTATTTTTCTCTAAGCATCACCCTCCTGGAGCCACATTATATTTGACTTTCTGCTCTGCTTTCTTTAAGAATTGGTTTCTAACCTGCCCTAAAAGTGCTGAACCAGCTTTGGGAGCCTGAAAATGCAGGGAACTACAGAGCAAAAAAGAGAACACAAACTCTTTGTTCTCAGTATCTCGTGATCTTAAAGTGCTCGGGGTGATCTCAGGGGTGTCAGGGCAAGGACAGAGCCACACAGGGCAGCTGCTCCCTAGTCTTTTCCAGCCCTCTTGCTCTGCTTTTCATCTTCCCATAACACCTTTTTTATGATATGGTGTTGTAAATATTCCTAGAATGTGCAAAATTTCTACATTTCCTGCTTTTTCCCAAAATTGAAACACAATTTTTACCATTTGGGCTAAAAGTGAGTAATTTTGCTTAGGTAAAAAACACCTTCTTTAAGGCTCTTCTTTTTTTTTTTTTTTTTTTTCCAGTTTCTGCTCAAAAGAAGCTCGTGTTTGCTGAAAAGAAAAAAAAAAAATCTTTTGATTCAATTCAAACAAATTCAAACTCCTTTTTAATTAATTATTTAATTTCTGAATGCTTACCTTTTTTTTTTCCTGCTTTTTCCATCCCATTTCTCCCCCACTCTCATTTTTAAAATGCAAATAATTGAGGAAAAAAATCCCTTCTGAGCCACTTCTGTTGATGCTGCCACCAACAGCCCCAAAGATGCTCCCAGCCCCATGCTCCCCTCACCAGGGACGGAGTTTGCAGTGTCCCAGACCCCTTCTTGTGTTCCCAACTCCCTGTGGATACCTGTCCAGCTGCATCAAAATCACAAGACAGACACAGATATAGGGCTGAGGGAGACAGAAAAACCCATAGCAAATCCAGCCTCGGGTTGATAGGACCCCAAAAGGGCTGTAGCTGTTTTATGAACTGTGTGAGGAGTTATCAAGGCAGAACAACATCACCCTGGGTGACCAAGGTGCTGCACTGCCCCAAATCAAGGATCCCCTCACAGGCAATGTGTCTGTCTTATATCCTCTGTGTATTTTTTACACAAATTATACACATCTCAGGTTATAAATTACTCAAATGCATAATTAAATGTTTCCATTCACAAAAAAAAAAAAAAATTATCTGCAGCTGTTGAACACAGAAACCTTTCTTTCATGGGCCATCTCTAACCAAGGCATCCTCTGAGTGAGCTGCATCTTCCCCCACCACTCTCATAAGCTGCACAGCAGACAGCCATTGTCTTTCCATGTATTTATTGATTAACAGCAGCATTTTAGAGAAGTGAAGCCCAGTTGCCTTTAAGGGCAGAAAAAATTTGGGCTTAGGTGTCATTCAGTGTTGTGGGCAAATGGGAAACTTTATATGGTGGTTGCTTTGCATCGTGTGAGTGTCTGACATTTTATTTGCATTTCTAGAGGGCTTTAGTCTATTTGAAGCTGGGAAAGGGAGAGGGCAGCAGGGCTGGGGAGAGCTCCAGCCTCCCTAAGCAGCACACCCTAAATTGGGAGAATAATAATGACCTGAGCAGCACAGGGATGGGCATTTACAGCAGAGCCTGGTTTTTCACAGCAAGAGTGAAAAGAAACTGGGGAAAGAAAGAAACAAGTGAGAGGGATGGAATCCTATCTCCAGCTACTCAGATCAAAATGTTCATAAGGCAACAAGTTTCTTCTGGGCATGGTGAATGCATCAGGAGGATGTTCAGCAGCCTGTGTAGCCCAGAGATCAAACAAAGTGATCTCCTCTGCATTTTAAATGTAGGAAGCTGAAAGATCTTAAGGGCAAATAAACTTACTTTGATTGCAGGGCTGAGATCTTGGAAGTCACATTCCTTTAATTTCCTTGGGCTGGTTGCCTTCCCTGTCAAGGACATGCACAGGATAGTGAGTTTTCAATGGAAACTGGTTTTGCCTCATTTTCCACTTCTCTCCTGTTACAAGGAAAGAAGTGCAAAGCTCCAAAGGCCTACCTGCCTCTTCCTATGCAGACAGAAAGGGCTGGGTGTCTGTTTTTAATTACAGCCTGAAAGAACTGCATTTAAAAGACAACAGAAAACTATTTAATTAATACTTATCATTAGCACACATAGGAATGCCTAGCAGCAAATTGCAACAACAAAGCAATTCCTTTTTACTTTTTTTTTCCTTGCACTTTGGATAAATTAAAAAGAAAAAAAAAAAAAGAGTAAACAAATGATTTGCACCACGTTTGGGATGACATTTTTCAGAGTGAAAGTAGTAGGATAGCAGGTGTCACCCTAGGAGAGCAGAGATGTCTGAGCAGCCTCCTCCATCTCCAGTTTTTCAGTCTCCAGCTCTCTTGGCCAAGAAGCTTATCTTCATCCATCCATCTATCTATCCTTCTATCTCAGCATTTACACCGGGCTCATCCCCATGTCTGAGCGCCTACTTGTCTTCATACCTGTCCATAAATTACATGGGGCCTCCAGGGCATTATAAATAATAATTCAGCTCCCAAACCTTCAGAACACTGTTTTAAAGCATTGGCTTATAATTCACCACGTTGTGGGCTCCTCCCAGCTCATAAATGGAGTAGAAGGACGTGACAGCCCAGGCAGTGGAGTAATTGTCCAAAGATCAATTCATTGTGTAGCCACGAGCTGGAAGATGGGGATGGACATTGTGACAAAGCACAGGGGAAGGCTGGACTGCTCTGCTCATGGGAAAGAGACTCCTCACCCACAGCTCCTTCAGGATTTTATATTCCTTACAATTTTATCTCAGGCAGAGCAGCAGTCATCCCATGTCCTCCTTTAGCTAATAGATCTCTTAATGGCACTCCTGATGATTGGAGTGTTGAACCACAGCACGGCTCTGCTGGCACATGGAGTCCCCATGGGGCACGGAGGCAGATGGCTTAGAGGGTAGACCCCACCTGTAGTCCAACACATCCCAAACCACATGAGGACAGGCGCCCCAATCCCTTGTTGGACACCAACTACAAATGAGTTTGGCTCAGGACAGCAAGTTGCTTTGGTACATGTGAGTTATTGAGTAGAAACTCCAGCTGAGCTATGACCCTATTCCTCTATCTCAACACACTGCATCTCCATCCCAATAGATTACTTTCTCCTTGAGGTAGGAGTTGGGAACATGTCCCAGCCATGTCCCTCAGTGGGGAATACAGTGTCCCCATGGAGTATGGTCACCATTTGGTGGGCATCACTCTCTCCTGGATAACATGTGAGACAGGCTTGGGGTCAGGGACCTGAAACTGGAATTTATGCTGGAGAAAAGCAAGAGCAGTTGATATATGAGATCAATTATTTGACAAGCCTGTCCTGGATTTGTGATCAGCTCTGGAAGGTGCAGGACTAAAATACCATTAACCCGGGGAATATGTGAAGTTGCCAGAGCCTGCAGCCACCCATTAATGTTGGGTGAGGAGGTACCATTTTTTGTGTGACTTTCCTCCCTCCATTTTCCATCTTTCTATCAAACCAGGCTGACCTTCCCTCTCAGTCAGAGACCCAAGGATGAGCAGGCAGAGCCCCAAGCACCAGTTCTGGGGACAGAGTAGGAGCTCCCAGTGTGAGAGTGGCCACTGATGCCATGGTCCCTGAGCAGCTGGTGGGACAAAGCACACCCATGGGGCCAGGTTCATTCCCACATCCCAGGCACCGGGCTGGCACACATGGCTGTGCATTGCCCTTTGTGGGATCACAGCCCCCTGCAAGGCAAGCCTGTCTTGCTCCCTCTGCCTTGGCTCCAGGCATGGAACAGGCTTTTCCTGCTGTTCTTCTGCTCCAGAGATCTCTGAGAGGGTTTCATAGTGTCCTGCCCTGAAAAAAGACAGATTTGGGCTGGGGGAGATGTAGCATCCTCACCCCATAAAGGGTACCCTCAGGGATGGCTGAGTATTAAACTCCTTTTCACCCTGCAATGAGGCTGGACCCTTTACTCATCCTACTGCTTGAGGGCACTGGGATGGGAGCACGGAATGTATTCGTCACGCTTTCTGCTTGCAAAACACACCAGGATTTTGGCAGGCTGCAAGTCCAGCCCCACTCATCCCATCCTTCACAGTGCTCCCAAGTGAGCGGTTGGGGTACTGCCAGCCAGGTTTGCAACCGGTCACTTGGGTGCAGAACTGGTTGTAATTTCAGGCCTCTCTCCTCTCACAGGGTGTCTTGAGATATGATTAAGGGCTAAATTGCAACTGAGCCTGGCTGAGAACAGCAAGATTTGGGGAGGCAGCTGTTAAGGGCAGCGGGGTCCAATGAGCATAACAACTGCATCAGTGAAAGGGGAAGCTGATCATGGGGTCAAAAGGAATAGGGAAGCTTCTTATTGCCACCCCCAGAGATGTCCTGCACTACCCCCAGTGCAAAGCCATGCTTTGGGGAAAGATTATTGGTGAGGATGAAGGTGCTGCTTAAATGAGAGGTATTTTGCTGGTTTGGCTCTTAAAGAAGGGTAAATGATGGCCTCATGAAACATCATTCCTGGACCCCACCTCCCAGCTGCTCAATCCATGCAAGTAGAGCTGTTAGCATCAAAAACATCCAAGTGCTGTGGGTTTTACATCATTCTCAGCTAAGCTGTTTCCCTCATCCCTGTTAATTGAGATGGGGCAGCCTCAGCCCCCACCCTGGAAGAGGCACAGGTCCCTCCTCTCCTGCAGGGTTTCGGTGGGATGGAAGGAGGTGGCACAGAGCCAGCTGTGCTGGAGGGAGCCAAGGAGAAGGCTGCCTGGATGCCAGCGAGGCAGTTAGCAGCCCAGGCCAAGCTTCCCACTCTTCCCGCACATTCTGCAACATCCCAAGCTGAATCACTTCACTGAATTTACTTTTACCCTGTTAAATGCCACTAAACCTTCAAATTAATCCTCCCATTACAGGACTTCCTTTGATGTCAAAGGGGAATTTTTTTTTTTTGATGGCAAAGGGGGATTTTTCCCCCCTGGTATAATTATTCCTATTTTTCTTCCCTTTTTTAGGCACAAGAGATTCCTGCCAGATGCATGACTTGTGGAGGCAGCTCCCACACATGGTATTTATGTATTTATATGTATATGATGAGAACGTGGCATTGAAAGACCTGAAGTTTCAGGCAGAAGATAAAGGGAATTTCCCATTTCCTACTTGTTACAGTGGAAGTTGCCTGGGAAGAGTCTGAAGCAGAACTAGGACCAAAAACTGTGAGATACAGTACTGGAAAGCAGCTCTTTAATGTAAACGTGTCCAGGGAAAACATCTGCTATTTAAAACTATCTCAGAGCAAGTCTCAATGCCTGGGAACAATCCCTGTCACTGCTTAAATTACAGAGATGGGTAAAGTGGATCCACTCCACTCTTGTATGTGTTTCTTATTGAGCATCTTGGGTGCTATTGGGATTGCTGGGTGGAACATCCCAGCACAGAGCCACAATCACTGGATAATGCTCAAGAGGCAGGCAGCTGTGGGTAGTGCTATGACAGCTTTCTGTAACAGCCAGCAATGATGAAACAGCCAGGTTTGCTCAGAGTTTCAATCAGTTTTCATGATTTATTAGGAAAAAGGGATACAATTGCATTGCTCTTTACTGAAATGAAATTGTCCATATAATTGAACTCTTTACTGAAAGTCTTATGAGATAGTCCAATTACACAGGGAAGTGAATTCTTGCTAATACATCATTGCATGGAGACTCCCAGCATAAGACAGGACTTTTCTGGGAGTGGAGAAGGAGCCCTGGGAGGCATTGTCCAGCTGTGCTCAGTAGTCAGGTCTGTGTGACTACCTGCCCTAGGGTGCAGACTGACCCACCTGTGCCTCCCACTGCTGTGCCACAGCTTCAATCCGGCCCCGGAGCACGCGTGCCCAGTCCTGTCCCCGCTCCAGGGGAGTGGACCTGGTCTCCATTGCTGTCAGGGCAGAGATTTCAGGGGGGATCTGGGGAGCCAGGCCAGCTCGGAGAAGGGCATCCTGAAATTTGGCTGCAGAGGCTGGAGCCAAGCAACAGCGGGGCATGCTGGAAAGGAAAGACAAGCAAAGAAAGTTTATGGTGTAAGCAAGCTGGGGCTGGAGATGCTGCAGGAGCAAGGGGATAGTGATGGTGCAGGCCCTAATGCTCCTGACCATGGCTCTCCCTACCTGTGTGGCTGTGAGTAGTGGTAGTGAGCAGCCACGGCAGAGTGGGGGCACAGCAGGTACTGGTTCTCCTCCCAGCAGCGCCGCATGGCTCCCACAATGTCCTGGTCAGAGGCTGAGCATGATCCCAGGGTCTCGGAGAGCTGTGGGGAAACAGGGAAGTTCACACAGGGCTCCACCACCCAATGTGTGCCCAGCTGGCTTTGTGCTACAGGCACTCAGCAAAGCAGGTGGAAGTAGAGAGGCTGGAGGATGGGTTCCCCCAGAGACTGAAGGAAAAGGGGTTGCTGCTGCAGCTTGGGGATGAGGCACTGCTGGAATAAACCACAGGGATGGAGTGTGGGCAAGGGGTTTCCATCCACAGGTGCTATGAACACGGGTGAGCAGGAGCCAGGGCTCAGCTCCTCACCTCTGCACTGCTATTTCCACACTCTGAGGGACTTTCGAGGACTTGTAAAATCCACCTCAGTGTAACAGCTCTTCTTGTTTTTAATAATAAAATTGTTTAGCATTTATCTTTCTGCAGCACAAGCAGGAGCAGGCACTGGGCAAAGGCTGCTCTGTGAGGGAGAGCACACTGGAAATTGGACAGGAAAAGGCAGAATTTTGTCTCTGGCCCTCTCACAACTCAAATCTTTGTTTTTCTCTTGTATCTCTCTCTGCTTTGTGTCTGTGCTCCCCTTTGCTGTAACAGCAAGGCTGAATTGCACCAAACTCAGCAGACCCACTCCCAAACACTCAATTTGTGCCAGCATCCACTGTAAAATGCCTCAGTGCATGGCCAAGGATTGGCCAATTACATATGCTACCTAAATAACTGCAGATAATTTTTAATTTACTTTCATGAAGAAGAAAGAGCATTCTTAAAAAAAAAAAAAACAAAAAAACAAAAACAAAAACAAAAGGGGGTTTTCAGTATCTCCATGCACACACATTGATATAAAACTTCTGTTCCGGACTCATGCTTAAATTTTCAGTTGTATACTCTCCACTCTGATTTTTTAATTCTGAAAATGAATAAGAAATACCTGGTACACACACAAACACAGGCACAGTGTTGTATGGATGAGGAACTGACCTTTCTGTGCAAATCCTCTGGCAGCTTCAGCCTTTTTGAGATGTTGAATTGCTCCATCAGAGTTTTTATCAGGAGGCTGTCAGAGCCTGAGAGCAGCCAGAGGATCCTCTCCACATTGTAAGGCTCCTGGGATAACAAGGCAAGAGGTGAGGAAATTTAAACGGCGGGGGGAGGCATCCTTGTGGATTCTCTGATGTCTCATTAGGGCTGAGGTCCTACCACTGTTTTTCTTGGTGGAAGCCAGGGTGGGCTTTTTGTCTTCCCTTTGCTCACCTACATCCCAGGACAAGCCTTTGGGAACACAATGTCTTTTGAACCTCTGACCTGTCAGAGCAGTCTGACAGTGACCATCAGATTAAAACAGAAAATGAAGGGATGGCTGATGAATCAACAGCTTGACCACATCTGTACCATCACTGTGAGGAGCCCAGGCTAATAACACACTGTGTATTGGAGAACCAGACATATCCAGCTGTTTACTCAGTGTTGCAGATGCTGCTGTGAGTCACCCAGCTCCTGCGTGACTTAATGAGACACCCAGCTCGCTGCAGGGCTGCCTGATAATCTCCATGAATTTATAGGGCACATATAGGGCCTGACTGGCCTATATGGCTGTGTAGCAATCAGCATTGCAACACTGCAGCAGAACTCTGTGCAAGACCATACAGGAGGGTCCCAAACCAACTTCTCTGCCTTGTCTCATTCCTGCACATTTACAAGCACCAAGAAATATTCATCCAGGTGGTTTGGCTGACATACCTTGTAGGGACAGACAGGACAAGGGCACCAAATTACAGAGTCCTCATCTCACCTCCTGGGCTCAAGTGCTGGGTTTGGACAAATTCTTCATAATTTTTAGCAGCTGACAGTACCTGTGAACTTTTGTCACTCCATTGTGTCCTACCTTGTCGAGTCATCAGGACTTACTCAGCCTTTTGTGTCCTTATCTGGGTGTCTTATGGGCTCAGTGCTGTTCTTCATCTTCCCACCATCATTTCCCAGAGCCTCCAGCCTCTAATCTTCAGTCTAGTCTGGGTGTATCCTGCCCTTTGCTCTAGGCTGTCCCCTGTTTTAGGCTGTCCTGAGAAGATACAGGTCAGTGTGCCTGGACTTCCATGACCTGCTCCTGGATGTGCCTCCAACACTGTGCTCCTGACACCCTTTCTCCTGTCCTTCTTTCTGCTGCTCCCACATCCTTCCCACATTCTTCCCACATTTTCCCTTCACCCTCCATTCCCACCAGCCTTATGGTTTCCATTACAGAACACTATGTTGACACCAGTAAGTTGAACTGGGCCAGGGTACTGGTGAAGTACCAGCCTCACCATCTAAGGCTTTTGCTTCTGTCCCACATCACCAGAGGTCTCCAGGAGAATGTTGGGGCCCAGTTTGGAGGCCAGGTCATGCTGGGGACAAAATTTTTGGAGTGTGGATATGAGCTCTGTGGCTCTTTCTGACCTCAGGGACAGAGAAAAGCCCCTGCCTGGCTGCAGAGACACAGTGTCTGCTGGGATTGTCCTGGGATTGCTCCTTGCAAGGCTCATCCACACCAGACTTTCTGCTTCACCTTCAACTCTTCACGCAGCATGTAACAGGAAAGTTTTCTCTGCCTTATCTTAGTCTGTAGAAGCAGCAACCTAAGGAGGCTATGCACTCTCCACCTTTGAAGGTTTCCAATACCCAAATGGACAAAGCCCTGAGCAATCCCACCTGACCTCAAGGGTGAACCTGCTTTAAACAAGTCCCAAACAGAGACCTCCTAAATTCCCCTCCAGAACAAGTGCTCTCTTTAGCTACAGAAATATTTGCATGGATGCTTCAGATGTGAGCGAACAGTGACACCCCACGCAGACAAGCAGAGAAATGTGCAGAGGGATTCACTCATCTAGCTCCTCAGGAATCTCAGGAAATCCCCTCACCTGACTCTGCCCCCAAGATCCCAAAGTCTGGCACTTGCTGACCAGTGCTACTGAAGGGAGATGGGCTGAGAGAGAAGCCCAGTTACCCCTGGAGCTCTGAGAAGCCCCACAAGTTGCTGGCTCAGGAGGAAAGCCAAGCTGCAGAGCACAGCCTGCTGAAAGGGACATGGTGACTGCAAAGCATGACAGTCCCTCCAGACTCCTAGGTCCTTCCAGTGTGTTTGAACAGCTTTTGGAAAATCCAGGTAGCTTAAGGCCACAGAGATACAACACCAAGGGTTTCCCACTTTGATCACTTGTTTGGAAGCAGATCCAATCCCTGGGGATCCCAGGGTGGGAATGAAAAGGGAGGTAAGTGCTTCCAGGTGTTTGGTTTCTGTACCTCCATGACTTTTCTTTCCAAGGCCTTTCCCTGCCTGCTGGGACTTGTTTTGCTCTGAGCAAGCTGCAGGCAGCCATGAACAAGGCATTTCTTCTGGACTTCTCTACCTCCTTCCTAGTCTCTCATCTTGCTCTTTGTGGAGCTTTTCAGAAGCATCAACAAAACCCTTGTGACATGACGGCATTTTTACTTCTTTAGTTATCACATGTTGTAGAAATGTCCCTGTCTTGCTAAGCTTGCACAGAATGATCCCCAGAAACCCAGAACTCAACAACGAAGATCAGAAAGTCAGACCCTGAAAAGTGAGGGAGAAGGAGTTTGATCTATCTCAGCTGAGCAGTCTGTAGCATAAATGGTCAATATTAGTCACACCTCCTAATGCATCATTGAGTGGCACAATTTGACAGGCAGAACAGAGTACAAGATTAAAAAAAGAAAAAACAGCAATATTTTCTATTTTTGCATTTTGTCCAGTTCACTACATACCTGGATATCCATGGCTGATGCTAACGTAGCCTTCACATTCTCTGCCAGTGAGAAATCTCCATGTTGAACAGTCCTATGAATGATGTCATTGCTGTTCACCACAGTAACAAGTCTAATTGGCAGACCCATTTTCTGGGCAATACAGCCAGCTAGGGAAAAAAAGGGAAAAAAATGCATGAGTGCTTGATGAAGAAATATTTGAAGAAGATTTAGCAAAGAAATCATCGTACAAATTGATTGAGCATCCAGTTCAGAAGCAGGCACAAATGGTATTCCCTAGTGGACTCAGATATCTGACTTCACTGATTTGGTAGAACACAGATTATAAAATCCAGGGATGCAACACTCCACATGCCATTGAACACAGACCCTTGCTCATCTCCACTTTTGCTGGTGGATAGGCAGGGGACAGAGAGTTCAGGCAGCTGACAGGCAAGCAGGAGAGATGAAGATTTTGGGCTTTTGCCTCTCTGATGGCAGCCTGGAAGAGCAGTGAATATATAAAATCCTTTACTGCTTTCATAAGACAGTTCTACACCTATTTTGGGACTGAGGGAATCAAGGACTCTCATTTAGAAGGCCAGATTATGCAATTAAGAGTGGTTGTCCTGACCATGCATTACCATGCAAACCAGAGAGGACCAGGCAGGACTCCACACCTCTGTTAATGTCTCACTTAACAAATCAGAGCCACAGCATTTTCCCTCTTTTCTGCATCAAACGCATTCTGTCCTCTCCTAATGTGCCCATCCTCAAGATAGTTACAGTCATCATCAAAGAGTGGTTTGGGTTTTTCTGCACCTTGCAAATCATCAGTGACACCTAAATTGAGTAATAACCATACATGAGTAATAAAATATAAGTGGTTCTGAAGAAATCCTACCAGAGAGTGGGTGTTTTAATAAATAGTAATACCCAGTATCTGCAAAGTGCTTTTGGTCCATAGATCAGAGCATTCTCTCTCTCTTATCTAACCCATCTCTTTTTCCCTTTACCCGTGATATTTCCTCCTCCTCCCGTTGGCACAACAATTTCCACCATTGGCAGCTGGGTGGTATCCAGGGATGGGGTGCACTGAAAGTAAGCATAGAAGTAGTGGGCAATCTGCACCATAATCCTGGACCAATTGACAGAATTCAAGCTCATCAGGTTGTATTTTCCAGCAAAATCGACATCAGCAAACAGTTCCTTGATCGGCTCATCGATTTCATCGCTGTTCCCATGAGCTGTCAAAAGGAGAAAGGAAAGATTAGATCTGCCAGCAGCAGTGCATCAGGCATGAGGTATTTCTGCTCAGAAGTAGGGTTGGTCTCAAGCCCTGGGGTTTGCTGTGGCCAGGAGGTGCCCATCTGCCCTGGAGGGTGTGTGAACAGGGCCTGAGTGGCACCCCGTGGATGTCAGGTGGTTTCTGCAGACACAGCACTCTGGGCTCTTGCTTCTACCAAATATAAATTTGCCAGAAAGGCAAATGCTGCATCCCCTTGTGAGATGCCAAGGTGAGACCAGGCTGAGCAGAGGAGTCCATGGGAACTCAAGCAGCCCAAGCACCCAGTGGTGATGCCAACCCACGGGGACGGCACAGTGGTAGGAGGTGGATCACCCATGAAGGCAAGAGGACAGAGGGAAGGGGTGGCTCCAAATCCTTTTAGTGACAAAAAGTGGTGCTAAATTTAGTTCAGCCAAACACCAACCACCTTCAGGGTGGCAGCTCTGATCTACAGCCAGGAGAAAAAAGAAGCCTTAAACTGCTTGGTTGTCAAACTGAGGATGTTGTCTCCTGTTAGCCAGATGTCTCGGCATGGTTAGAGCAACGACCCAGCTGGCTGCAGCTGCTAAAGCTGCACATCCCACTGAGTGGCCCCCTCAGACTTTTAGGGTCAAGGTTTTGGCATAGCAGAGCCATAAAGTGGACAGTCCAAACAGCAGTGCCAACCAGCAAAGACGTGGACGTTGTCTTCAATGACAGTGGTCATCTGAAGTTCCTGTATCTGGGTGCAGAACCCCTTGGGCAGCAGAACAAAGATGTCCACGTTCTTCTGCCCTCTCACGCTCTCGATGGCCGAGCTCCCCGTGTCCCCTGAAGTCCCTGTTTCAAAGTGAGGAAGCACCAAGAAAAGCAAAAAATTGCTGTGTCAATCAAACCTCCATCACTGCACTTTAAGAAAAAGATGCAGAGATGCTCCATGAGATGTTTTTGGCCAGAGCAGCCACTCTGGCATTGCCTGGAGATTATGAGGCAATACTATCCTGGGGCATCTTTGGGGAGGGCTGTAGGATGATGGCTCTCAAGGTAAAGGCCTGCCCAAGAACCTTACCTCCAAGGAGTCATACTCACCCACCAGAATATTGACATGCTTCTGCTTTTTCTCCAAGAAATACTGTAAAAACTGTCCTGTGCAGGACAAGGACAGGTCCTTAAATGCATACGTGACACCATGCCAGAGCTCCAAAATGTTCAGCCCATCTTTCAGCCTGGACATATGCACAACATTCTTGTGTCTGAATCTGCTGAAGGCCCTGTCAATCAGCTCTAGAGGGAAAATGATTAAATAGCTTGTTAAATGAAAGGAGTGTTTTTCTGACCCGTGGCTTCCTGCATCTGTGCTCTTTGTGCTCCTGGGCACCTTTCTGCACAACCAAAGGCTCTGTGCAGTGACAGATACCCCAAAAGTTATTTGTGGTTATTAGGAATGAACCAGCCCAGCTTCATGCTGTTTGATACCTCTGTGCTAAGTAATCCCAGAGGGCATGTCATACAATCAGAAAACTATATTAAAACATAAAATACAGGAAACCCGAGTTTTATACCAGTGTGCTGTTGAGAAAGAGGTTGCAGCTGCCCTCTGGTGGAAAAGATAGCTTATAAGTGTTAAAAAAATTTAAAAACATGTCAAGGCAAGCAGAAACAGCAGAAAGTCGCAGAGGGAGCCCCGGCAGTGAGCAGGGCCACAACATCAGCTTGTTGCTTTCACCAGAACCCCTATTTTTACACAGGGGACACCTTTTCCACTAGTGCCAGCAAGGTGACAGAGGAGAGCAGGCTACAGAAAGGAACAGGCAATGTGCAGCAGGCTACAGAAAGGAACAGGCAATGTGCAGCAGGCTCCTTCTCTTGGGGGCTGTGAAGAGGATGGGGGAAAGGCAGGCAGAAGCATCCAGACCCCCTGAATCCTTGTCCACGTCCCCACGAGCAGCTCCCCACTCAGCTCACCATTGAGCGCGTTCCGTGGGACCAGCTTGGCCGGGATGAAGAGCGAGCAGAGCTCCTTCACCAGCCCAGGGTAGGAGAGGCTGCTCCACCTTTGCAGGGTGTCCCTGTGCAGCGAGGGGATGTGCTGGGGCATGAAGAGGCCGCCATCGGGGGCATAGCCAGAGAAAAGGGCACCCTCGAAGTCCACGGCCCTCGTGCCTCCCCGTGTGCTGACATACTCCATGGCTGCTGAGGAGGCACCGCAATCACTGCCAGCGACCCAAAGCACCCCCACACCAGGAACAGCCCCTCATCCCAAAAGAACTCCCTCCAAAACTTCCCCTGTGGGCAGAGAGAACTCCCCAGGGAACAAACCACCTCCTCCCACAGGAGGCTGGAGCAGCCACGGTCAGTCCAGGGCACTCGGCATTTTGCAGGAGGGTGGAAAGGCTGCCTGGGATTTGTGCCAAGGTTGGAGCCTCCTTGTCCGGCTTTCCCTCCACCCTGCCCGGGGAGACACTTCCCCCCTAAGGAAAAGCCCTGACGGCGCAGAAGTCGCTGCAGAAGGACGTCATGAGCCTTTGTGGGTTGTTTGCAAAAGCTGGAGCTTTAAATTAAAAAAAAAAAAAAAAAAAAAAAAAAAAAAAGATCACTGCGTTTTCAGAGGAGGCTGATTTGTTCAAAAGGGTTAAACTAAGGACAGGATTTGACGCAGCGTAGGAAGGGCTGAGCTAAACCCTCCGGACGGGCGCAAATCGCGGCGGCGCTGCTGGGACCGGCCGTGTCTGCCCCTGACCCTCTGCGCCCCTCGGCTGTGCCCGCCTCAGGCCCTGCGCCAGCGCTGCCGCCCCTCAGCACAGCAGGGAAGTGCCCGAAGAAGCTGCGGTCACCGCTTCCAGCCCGGCTACCCTTTGCCCTTGTGCTCACGGCAAACGTGTCCCCAGTGCCACCCGCCGGTGTTCCCGGTGCCACCCGCCGGTGTTCCCGGTGCCGCGGCGCAGCCGGCAGAGACGGCCGGCAGCAAGCCCGGGATGGGAATATGCTGGAGAGACGGAGCTCAGCTGCTTCTGCTGGTGCCAGGAGTCGGGACAAGGGGCGGCAGGTGCGAGCTGCAGCTAGGGGGAAATCTGGTTAAATATTAGGAGACAGCTTTTAGCATGAGTGTGATCAGGCACAGGGCATGGAGACCTTGTGGTCTCTTGTATAACTCTGGAGACATTCCGACTTCGAGTGGCGAAACGTGGAGACACCTGATTAAATTAGATATTGAAGCTGCTTAAAGAAGGGTTTGGGTCAGGAAACGCCAGAAATCCCTTGCAAGCACAATCAGTCTGGAACTCAGCTCTGCTCAGCCTCCCAACAGCCCTGGCACATCAACGGGGAAACTGAGGCACAGGGGAGAGAGAAGACATGGGAGAGCTTGTGCAAAAAAAAAAATCTAGTTCTTTACAGGGAAGAGGTGTGCATTCCTTAGCTGCTTTTCATTTTAATATAATCAGCATTTTTTGAAGGGCAAAGTCAGCACAGGACCGGTGGCTGCACAAACCCAGGACACAGCTCAGTGCTGAAGAAAGCAAAAGGACTTCAGCCCAGGCAGGCAGGAGCAGAGGTACAAAGGATGGCTGATAAGAGCATGCTATGAGCCACGGAGACCACATCTGCAGCAAAGGACATGCTACCTGCCAAAGCACTGGAGTCTGACACTAAATATATTGCCTCTCTTTATTCTTATGGTTCTAACGGGAGCAATGAGAAAAACATCTGGTGGAGAGTGGTCCAGTGGAGAGTGCCCTGGGCAGTGGTGTGGAAAATTACTTTTCTACACCCAGCATCCCAAAAGACTCTTTCTGCAGGGCCTGTAGGTAGAGACAGTAGGTAAATTTCAGGCTCTGGACAGAGCTGCTTGTGATGGTGTTGCTGAAGGTTGAACAGGGCAGCTATAGCAGAGCAGGAAGCAAACAAAAGCGTTTTAATAATACATCTGAGCTCAAACAGTGGGCCAGAGCAGAACACACCTCTAGGAAATCAGCTAGGAAGGGAGCTATTTATCTATAATTATATAAATTATATCACCAACCAGCCTGCATCTCCCCACCATCTCTGTGCTCAGTGTTCCTCATGACATTGCAGAGATGAAGCTTGAGCCACCCAAACCTGCTGTGGCCCTGCAGTCCTCCCTGTACCTGTAGTCACCAGATCCTCTTGGCACACTGGCATGCAGTGGGGTGGTCACCCTGTAAAGGAGGCTTGTCCCCATTCCAGCTGTGGATCCAGGTCTTTTCAGAAGGCTCTGGATAAAACAGCAAGTCTGGACCTTGTTCTTCAGGGACTGGTCAGGCTTAAATCGATGGCGAAACCTCCCCATCACCATCCCAGGAGTCACTGGAAGCTCCCAGTGATGTTTCACTTAGATGCTGAGAGGAGTGGCTGGTCTCTCCAAAACAGAGTCTCAGCTCCTCAACATGCTCCAGTGATAGCTGACACAAAAAACTACAAGTAGTATCTCTGGACAAACAGTGAAATATTAGAAATAAAAGAAATAGCAAAAACTGCAGGATGTGTGATTTGCCTCCTCTGTTATAACCTCTCCCCTTTCCCATGATGGTGTGCCAAGGTGAACTCAGGATTTTCCTTCCTTGCCCATGCAGAGGCAGAGCACACTTTGAGCTGGAACAAGGACAGGATTAATTCCATAGGAAGAACTGCACAAGCTGATTGTTTTTATTACCAATGCAAGTATTTAATGTACTTCTTTTCAAGAGTCACCCAGCACAGTTCAATGAGACCTCACCTATTCCCCCCAGCATGGGACCTCATGTCTCTGGGCATTCACTTACCATATATCTAATTCTTTTAATGTATGTTTTAGCTATGTGAAATGACTTCATTAATGCATGCAATTTTTTTTTTCCAAGTGAAGAGCTTACAATGAGATTGATGATTCCTTCAGCATTACATCCCTCTGGGATGCAGGAGCCCTGTAAAAAAAAAATAATTTATTACACCAGGTTACCTGCTGCTTTATATCTGCAAAGAGGCTGTTGCCACAAGTCTATCCAAGCCCTGGGTCTATCAGCAGTGACAACCCTCATTAACAGGGTCAGTGGTTAATGCTGGGTGCAGGGACTGCTGATGTGGCAGTCACAGGTGAGCACAGAACACAGCCTGGGACACGAACCAGGATGACACTGCCATTTACTTGGAGAGGTTTTCCCATGCTCAGCTCTACAATTTCCATGAACTCAAGTTTAGAGTGGCATTTCATTTTGGGTGGAGCTCTGAGCAACCTGGTCTAGTGAAAGGTGTCCCTGCCCATGGCAGGGCAGTTGGAACCAGATGACCTTTAAGGTCCCTTCCAACCCAAACCATTCTGTGATTCCATGATTCACTCTGTGATTCTTTAATATTATTTTGAATTTTTAAGAAAAGGAGGGGAGGAGTGTGCCCATGCTGCCTGTCAGGACTCATCCACTGCAGCAACAGATGAAGAGCTGGAAAATGTAATAGCCTCTAATTAACCTGGTCTTACTCACTGCCTCCATATTCCTGCTGGGATTTGCAATTCTGCTTTGGACCTTGTCCATTCCTGAGCAGTTCATGGTCTCTGGACTCATATGTCAGGAATCACCTGTATTTGCAAACCCCAGCTAAAGCTGCTGTCAGACTTTACCTTTTCTACTTTTTTTTTTTTTTTTTTTTTTTTTTTTTTTTTTTTTTTTTTTTTTTTTTTCTGGAATGCATCCTTTTTTATCCCTCCAAGGGATTTCCTCAACCTCTCCACCTTCCAAAGGCATCCCAAAGCATGATGAGGACTGAGGAAGCAGAAAGACATGTATAACAACAAAAATTCCATTTTTTTCCCTGCACCAATCCCCCTAAAATAGCATGTCTCAGCCCCAAGCGTTGCAGCACTCAAAGAGAAGCACAGCAAAACTCTCAACTTCGTGTTTGCTGAGGAGCTTTCCATCCTCTCCAGCAAAGTGGGCCCCTGTACATGTCCCAAGCACAAGAGGCCGGGGTCCCTGGCACATTTCCCCCGCAGAGCATCCCCAGGAGCGCCGTGGACCAGCGGCTCTGCCGGAGCCACAGCGAATCCCAAGTCACTAGATGGCGGCAGTGCCTTGTGTCCAGGCATCCTGGAGGAGGTGCACATCCCTTTCCCTGATCCCCTCCAGCCTTTCCCACCCTCCCAGCATCCTCCGTCCTTCGCGTTCCCAACAACAGCCGGGAAACACCTCTCCAAAGTTTTGGAGTGAGAAAAAGGAAGCACGTTGTGTCCTGCGGCAGGAGGGTTGGATACAAAGCTGATGCAAGAGCTCGTCGGGGTGGGAAGGAGGTTCTTCATGTCCACCCACCTTCTCCTGAATTCTTCAGAATTCTTCAGGTTCTTCATGTACCCATCTTCTCCAGAATTCCATCCTGGGATTTTATTACCTTATTTTCAGCAAGATCTCTCCTGTCCCCAGTGAGACACTCAGAAAAGGGCACACAGAAAGGACCCCAACTCTCATGCAGGTCCAAAAAGCATCACATTTAATAAAAAGTAACACATAACCCTGAGCAGAACAAAAACGTCCCCATTACTCCCAGTCCTGTCTTTGCCCACAAGTTGTCTGGGGTCTGAAAACCGCATTCAAACAAAAGCTTTCAGACATGTAGGTGACCCAGACAACACCAGGCAGGTCCAGGAAGGCAGTTACCAGGATATTTGGGATTTTGCAATGCCATTTACTGCCCTGTGGGAAGTGTGTTACATTGGCTGAGAAAAATTACAGGAGCTTATGACTGGAGGTTGTTGAAGTTATGTGTCCCCTGCCCTCTCATGTACAGAAGTGTGAACATTCACAGAGAGAACAGGGAGATTCTAGGTAAAAAATGCAAGATTCTGACCAGGAATCAAAGTACTTCAGTTGTGCCTTCTCAGAGGCAGGCACAACTTGGTCAGGGTCAGAATCTACACCAGGAAGGTGGCTAAGGAAGTTTGCAGAATGTCTGCAGCTGCACAGGCAAACATGCACCCAGAATTGTTTATTTGAGCCTCATGTCAAGGAGATATAAGACAGAAATGTATTACTGTAAATAAATTAAACTCTACAAAACTGTACAAAGCTGCATCTGTGCTACAGCAAAGGGGCTCTTTCCCCCACTTTCTAAATCTGATCTAAATTGCCAATATCTCAGCTGATGTGAGGCAGAACTTCCACATGGATCACCTCCTCTCATCTGCAAATGTGCACATACAGACTTTTCCGCCTCTGGTGATTTTGCAGGGCAAGGAGCTGCTAGCACGTTGGCCCTTTCCCCACATTTGGGTGCAACACTCTTGCCTCAGAGCAAGGTGTTTCACAACCAGTCAAGGGCATCTGTGTTGTGGTTTGGGTCTTGTAGGCCGAAGTGCAGGACCCACTCATAAAGGCAGGAGCAGAAAGGGAGCTCAAGGAACTGTGCAGTGCTGGCATCCCTGGTGGGATACTGGAGAAGCTGTTGTGTCCTGGAGAAGGTTGTGCAGTCTGGTTCTACTATGCTGAAGTTCACATTGTACCCCGTAGCCACATTTTTTATCAAAATCTACAATCCCATAGCATGTGGGCTCTATGACCCCCAGTTAGGGAGTGGACAAAGAAGATGCTTTATCAGCTTCTCCAGGTGACTTTGGAAAAGTCAGGCTCCATAATGTGCAAAATGGGGATACCTGTGCTCAGGGAGGCTATACTTTGACTATAATAGACTTTGACTATAAAGACACGACATAACCAAGTGGGACATGGACAGTGGCAATCCTGTGCTTTGTCCACAGCTCTGGTCTTGCTGGCACCATGGTTGTTCCCCATGGAGCACCTCTGTGGCCCTGAACCTGGTGAAGGCTCAGTTGCTGTCGGACTCTGTGCAATTCTCTGCCCTCCTTGCAGCTGTGTTCTGCCTCAGCACTGACCCTCTGGCTGATGCATCATTCTTGGCTTATTGCTTTCCCCAGCCAAGGATCACTGTCTGCTAGGGAAGGTCTTGGGGGTTATTGGTTGGACTTTCCTTCATTTTATAGATTATAGATTGTGGTTATATATTTGCCTCAGGGAGAGACAGGAACAGGCTCCTCCCTATGCTTGTCTGACCCTGAGATGCTCTCCTTGACTAATCACCTGCAACCCTCTGTGAGGAGCACTGAGTGAGCCAGTGTGCTTGATAAATCAGGACAAAGGGGAGCACAGCTGGACAGGTGAGTACTGGCCCACAGTGACAGCCAGGTGTCCCTCCAGGACTGGAGTTCATCTGACCACCTGTGGGCACTTGGAGGCTGCTGCCCTTTCCATGCCAACACGCCAGTCTCCTGCACTAGTTCAGATAAAAGTTTCCTTGTCCCCACTGTGTCTCAGGGGCTCTTCATGTGCCTGGATCAGAGGGAAATGTTTGCACTGTAGATATGTGGTGGGGCAAGAGGTAAATCTTCACTGGCTCTGCTTTGGGGGTCTCTTCCAGACCTTCCTCACTCAAGAGCATTGACTGCTAATGGCTCCATTTTTTCCCCGACATTTTCTTTCCTTGTCCTGGCACAAACTAGTTCCATAAGCAATGAGCACCATTTTCAGTCCTTTACCCTGGCTCCATGAGCTGGGCTGTGGGATGAAGGGCAGCCTCACCCCACCAAAGGCCAACCTGCAAGGACATTACACATCCTCTGAGGGCATAAACAGAGAGTCCCTGTGCCTGGAGAGAGGCCACAGCTCTACACCACTATTGGAGGCAAGAGAATGGGAAGTGGGTGGCACAGCCAGCAGCTTTATTCCTATTGTAAAGCAAGATCCCAGCAGCAAAGTCCAGCTCTTCTGTAAGCTCTGGCCCCTAGGTGGTCATTGCTAAGCAGAGCCAAGGCTCTTGTGCTATCAGTGATAGAGCCACCTTGACCTTGAAGAAGAAATACAAACCCTTTTCTCTCTTTGGCATCTTTGCAATAAGATGACAAGGACTGAGGGCTGCTCTTCTCTGAATATCAGCATGGATGGAAAGCTTTCTCAAGCAGCAGCTCTCTGCACAAGCTACTGCTTTTGCATTCTTATCAGGGGTCTGATAATGACATATCTAATCTAAACCTATAGGAAATGGCACTTGCATATCTGCAGCTTGGAGGCAGGAATCTCAGGAGACTGCCAAGGCCATTTTAAAAAGAGAAGAATCTGTATGATGTATTTAATCTGTAAAGATGCTGTATTTAACCTCAGTGCTGTCTTGGTAACACAGCACAAGGAAATCCAAGAGGGATGGAGAGCTCTCGGCGGCAGCAGCAGCATCTTCTCCATCCCATCCAACCTTTCGAAGCAATGCAGTCATGTGGCCTGATGAAGAAACCTTTGTTCCTCAAGGTTCAAAATAATCATACCAGAGATGTGAAAATCTGGCAGCAGACCAAGTTTCCAGGTTCAAGGGCAGCAGAAATAGAATTACCCAACAGTACTCTAGGTTGAGACAGAGGGGAGCCCACCTGGGGATCCATGACTGTCACACTTGTGATCAAGCTTTTTTAAAAAATGGGTAGCGGTTTTGAGGTGTTCAACTGGAGCTGCCTAGAAAAATCCAGGACTGAATCATCAAAGGTCCTGGCTTGTAGCCTTTCACATTTGAGCCAAGAAAATCCTAGTGTAGAGCCCAACCCTGGCTTCCCAAAGCACTGAGGTGCTGGACTCACTGGAGTCTGGGGAGTTACTGGTGGGATAGATAAGAGAAGCAAGGTGATAGAGGTGATAGAGGAGAGATGCATGAAGAAATTCCCTGAACTCCACAAGGCTGCCAGGGACCCTCCCCTGGGCTACAGGAAGTGCCTCTCCCCATACTTTGGCTGTAAAGCCATTTTTGTAGTTCAGAACTTAATTAAGAGTTTCGGTTTGAACTGGAGGAGGCAGAGAGAATTTTTTCTTCTGTAGGAGCCATAAACTCCAAATCTAGATATAATGTCCAACTCACCAAGGAGTGCAGGTAGGAGGGTGGCTTCCCAGACACTGAGTGAAAGTGAGAGCTGAGCTCAGGAATCCCAGGGAAGGGTTGAGGGGGTGTCATAAAAGGATGCAACTGCTCCACAGGCAGCTACAGAGGTGACAGAGCCAAACTCTTCTGGATTATGGAAGATGTAGCGTAAGGCACCAGCCACACATTGCAGTTTGGGAGGTTTGGGTTGAGCACCTCTGCTTCAAGAGGTGGGTCTTGGAGACCCAGGATGAGTGCTCAGGGAGACAGAGGAGGTGGGCTTTAAAATTCAGCCAAAACCATTGCTGATCCGCTGGTGATATTCTTGCCTAAGACATTCTGCATGTTCTTATCTCTGATTCAAGTGCAAAAATAAGAAAATAAGATACTTCACTATTTTTTTTCTTTTTATTTCTTTTTTTTTTCTTTTTTTTCTTTTTTTTTTTTTTTTTCTGACAAGCTTCTAAGACCCTCTGCTTTATTTTCAAAGCACGTTAAAGACAGATGTACCTCCTGGCTTCCCTCAAGATGTAGCTTCCTCAATAATTTTTGAAAGCGATCCATGCCTTTTCTCTTTATACAAGCCAGATTCAAGTTTTAGGGTGTGGATTTACTTTAATCAAATTATCAGTTGACATGACCTCATGTTAATGCAAATCAAGTGCATTTTCCTGGTCCTGGAAAGTTAAAATGATATCATATTTTAAAAGATGCTGTATTCTGTTGGGGATATGTACAAGTATTCTGAACTTTGCTATTGAGATTAAGTTTATCTCACCTGCCATTTGCTCAGCAGGCCCAGCTAGATAATAATTACCTTGGCCAAATTTCATTCAATAAACATTTCTCATTTCTTTAGTACGAACTGTGTATCTCTGCTAAAGAAAATAAAAGAATGTTGAGCTCAACAGAACACAAAGAGGTTTTATTTTTGTTCATTGATCAAAAATCAGCTGGTCACATTTCCAAACTTTCTAACAGCGACCCATAGTCCCCACTTAGCAACAGCAAATCAGGAGCACAGATTTGTTATAGCTATTCGCAGTAAGCAGAGGAGGAGAGGATACCTACAGAAAACAACTTGGGTTCCAAATGGGGTGAATTCTCTCATGAGTTGTCCATTTCTGTGAATGGAAAAATTTCTGCCCTGTTACCAAGAGTCCTGGACAATTATATTCCACTTTTAACATTTGATGAGTGACATCCAGCCCTTAGGATCTTCATCTCCATGGACACTGTGGGCCTGGGAACTGCATTTTTTTCAAGCCTAATCTCTCTCCCCATCATGCAAAGATAGGGAACCTGAATTGCCTGGAGGAGCAGCTGGAGGTCCAGGGCATGAAAATGTGGGAGGCACACATGTGCTTCCAGGTAGTCCATGACCAGAGAATGTTGGAGGCAGGGATCTGGCAGCTCAGGGTGGTGCCAGGACGCAGCAAAAGACGTCAGCCACTGCTGTCCCCATGAAGAGGACACTGAAAAGGGACATGTCAGCACAGCCCCATGTGACACTGGGCTATTCACCTGAGGCAGGCATAAAAATGAAATGCAGTTCCTAACATGACATAATTCTTGAAGGGGTAAAATGGGAAAAAAAACCGAAAAGCTGTTTGGGGAAATTGCTGAGTCAATCCACCCCTCCATGAATGCTCTCTGAACCTGCCTGGCTCCCTCCATGGTGCATAGGGATGATGTCCCTGAGGATTTTCCCCCCTCCCAGCCAATTTCATCTACTGTCCGTCCCACCAGCCAAGGCTTCCCCTCTCTTGCCTCATCTGGCAGACACTGTCTGTACTAATTAACCAGAAACTGAGGCTCACTACTGCAGCTCAGAGTGCGGGGCTGAGGTGGCAGCAGCAGGACAAACGGCAGCAGAAGGCTCTGACTGCATCTCCAAATTGGAAGAAGATAGGTCTTTTTCATTCTTATACATTATTTCACTTCAAAAAAGGACAAAGATGTGAGCTGACTGTGGGAGGGAGGAGGAATTTATTGAGGCAAGAAGCCCAGCCTGGGAGTTCAGACTCAGATGATGGATGCTCAGATGCCATGAAGCAATCCTGGGGCGCTCAGCCAAAGGGATAGGAATGGAAGAGGAGCCCAGCTCTGAGTCCTGCTTTGGAAGTAGGAATTTGGCTCAACTTGGAGGCTACTGCTGGCCCTTCTTCTGACATGGCACTTGGGAGAATTGCAGCTCCAAGGGCTGGAATGCTTCTTCAGTACATGCGTGACTGTGGGTCCTATGGGAAAAGGAGATGAAAGTGATTTGGTAGATCACTAATGGCACCAGCTCTCTATCCACACAGGACCATAGAGGTAGAGCCTAATTCAAACTGTAGTCTTCAGGTGGGCCAGTGCAAGGCCAGGAATTGATTTGAAATATTTTTCTTAGAGGACAGCAATGGGTTTGTGCTGCTGCTGCATCTGGGTTATACCAAACCCCACCAGCACAGGTCTGTGAGTGAGTCAGTCCCTGCCAGTGTGCAGCCACTATTCTGCCAGGGCTGATGACCCACTGTGCACACACCAGTGAGCAGAAATCCCCCAGTGTCAGCTCCAGGGGACACACACCCCATTCTCCTCCTCCACATACGTGCTTCCGGACTGCAAACTCATTAGATGATTTGGCTTGTTCCTCTGATAATGAGCCTCTTTGCACAATTATTATTTTTTTTTATCATTTGTTTATGGATGCCACATTGCAACCTCCATAAAATGTATTTTATGGGGTTTTCCCTGCCCCCACGTTGTAAATTGTGGTCTGTAAAATGTAGAGCAATTTATCACTGACCATTGCCCAGTTTTACGTTAATGTTTGAACATGCCAATAAACCAATTACATCATCTTACCTCTGGCCAACTTTTAAGGCAGAAGGATGATATAAAACCAAGCTCTGCTCTCCAGCAAGGAACCTTCTCTTGTGTTAGGAGCACAGAGAGCTTTTCCACCATGAGCTTCACTGGAAAATATGAGCTCCAGCACCAGGAAAACTTTGAGCCCTTTATGAGAGCCCTTGGTATGTGCCTGCATGTGCTATGTATTGCTTTGTCTTTGCAGATCCCACTGATTTTTGGGAGCCAACTGTGCTGATGTGCTGATGATGTAGATTGAGACATTCTGAGATTTCCTATTTCTGTCTGTCACCTTGTAATTATTGGGATTTTAAATATATTTGTGTGGAGATGTGATCTCAAAATAGAAGAGAAAGCATCTCTCTGTCTGGGGCGGGGGGTCAGGAGATGATGGGTGAAGTTTTATGGCTTGCAGGAAGTCAGTTCTGGCGGGTTCTGCAGCCACTGGCCAGTGTGGCTGAGTGCTGCTCACACGTGATAAGCCAGCAGGACCTTGGTGGCTTAGGGGCGCTACAGACCTGCTCCATCAGGCTGTGAAATTTGAGAGCAAGCAGGACATTGCTCAGCCACTGGGCTGCGATGCTGCAAAGCCTCACATCCCACCGTTCATCAGAAAAATAGCTGGTGTTGATTAAATGCTGAATGCTGAATGTGTCTGATAGATGTTCACTTGTGTCTGTGACAGGGAAGGTGGTCCTGCAGGGATCCAGGGGGCTTTGCACTATTTCTGCACAGTTACGTGCCAAAAGGGCTCTACCTGTCAGATCACCTTCAGGGTTTGGGAAAAAATTTTATAAAGTGGTTCTGAGGAACCCTGAATCTCATTAAAAAAACACTTTGTTCCTTTATTTTGTCTTGATTTAATATGTTTTTTTCTTGCCTGTCAGTGAAGGAAGGAAAGCAGGATATATTCTTAGACAGGGAGGTGGTGTTTGTGCTCCCAGTCAGGTCAGCGAGACACGGGACATGTCTAGTTCCCACACAGAATTCAGGATGACAGTATTAATCTTCCTCCCCAGCAGACTCAGGGACATATGGCTCTTGGGGAAGCACCATCATTGAAAGGTTTTTCCACACTGGAATAGAAATTTTCCCGACTGTAGGTCCCCAAATCCTGCTACATTGATTTGTTCAGCAGCAGCAATCTGCCCACAGATGGCTCCACCGTTCACTCAATGTCTCTTGTTCCTGGGCAGGGCTCCCTGAGGACCAGATCCAGAAGGGCAAGGACCTCAAGAGCATCTCAGAAATTGTGCAGGATGGGAAAAAGTTCACGGTTACTGTCACCACTGGCTCCAAAGTGATGAAAAACCAGTTCACCATTGGGGAGGAGAGTGAGATAGAGCTGATGACTGGAGAGAAAGTGAAGGTGAGTGAGCAGCCCCTCCTCTGCCAGGGCCATGGGGGCTCAGGGACATTAAATTTCCATTCCAGCCATTCCCTCTGCATATGAGCACAGGGACTGACCATACTAGAGGTATTAATTAATGTACTACAGGTATTAATTAATGTACTGCACTTCCTGCAGAAGAAGCCTTGTATTTCTGAATCTATTTCAACAGTAATTTTGGAAAACACTAGAAATCAGTGTTTTAATATCCCATTTGGAAAAGGGGCATAGAGATGCTTTGGTAAAATTTTTTGTAAGGAAGAGTTCTGAAAGATTTGAGGTGGAAAAAAGGATTGACATTATGTCATGATGCAACACAAAACATACCTCTGCCTTAATTTTGTTGACTCAAAGGTAGTGCAGGAAAATCAGATAATCAATCATAAACCAATAAATCTCTCCTTCTAAGTCCCAGTAGCTGTTAGCTTCTCTGCTAGCCTTTCCCACTGCTTCAGGTTACCCTGGGGGAGGTGATTTGGCAAGGTGAGGAGTTACCACCCTTGAACTTGGGTGCTCCCTTTCCTGGACATTAGTTTCCAATGAATGTCTAGGCAACACCACTGATGAAATCTGCCTCTCATCTCTGCCTCAGGAGAAGATGGAATGGCAAGGACTTTTCAAAGCAGGAAGGTTGATCACCAAATAAATGCCCTGCGAATGGGGCTCTGAGAGCACCACCAGCAGCTGTGTCATGATTTTCAGCATCATTGCACTCTCTTTGGCATAAACCAGGGGGAAACAGTTATTAGAAGTCTTTTAGCCTCTGTACACCAGCAGCTCTAGGGCAAATGAACACATCTTATAGCTGGGTAAGACAGATAAACAGAAATGGGCTTTGCTGTGTTATTTATTTGATTAATTTCATTGATCAGTGACAGCTGCCCTGGGGGTGCTGGTGCTGTCTGTAGCTTTTTTTTAAATGTGCAGCTCAGGTGTCTCTGCAGTCCCCTCCTGCTGTGGCAGGTTGGGGAAGGACAACATGCAGGGGTCGAGGTGGTCTCCAGCAATAACATGAATGCCTCTGTCTTCCACCAGGCTGTTGTGCAGATGGAGGGTAACAACAAACTGGTCACACAGGTGAAAGGGATGAAATCCGTCACGGAGCTCAACGGAGACACCATCACCTACGTAAGTGTGGAAGGGCAATGGCTGGAACAGCAGGGCTGCCTTCAGGAGCCTGCCCTAGGAAGCTACAGAGGCACTGGGGGGTGCTGGAGCAGAGCACGTGCTTGCACACAGGCTCTGCAGCCACGAGCTGAAGGCAGTTTCTCATTAGAGTGTGATCCAGAAACTACTTTTTAGGACCCCAGTTTAGGCACAGCTGTTCAAAGTTTTGGGTAATGAGGGCATGTTCTCACCCACCCAGAGGAACAGGTATGTGCCAGGGCTTGGCACTCTTAGAGAAGAAAGGTGAGGCAAACTGATCCCAGCTGAGGGATGCCAGCTTATCCCTATGTGCTTTGAGGTATTCATGAAGAAATCCAAAGCTTTAAAAATCCAGTTTATGAGAGATAAACTGGAGATCAGTCCTGTTTTGATTTGCAAGACCAGATCCTAAGTACAGTTTGGAGCTAAATACCATGATGATCCTTATGTGTGCCTTCCAACTTGAGATATTCAACTATTCTACAAATTCATAAAAAGCTAACACTTTCCATTTCTTTTTCAGACAATGACCATGGGTGACCTCACCTTGAAGAGAGTCAGCAAGAGAATCTAGAAATATTACACATGCCAGTAGTTTACAGTGTAAAATGTGGCCATTAAAATAAAAATTGTATTGAATCCTCTTCATTGTCATCAACCTCTTCATTGCAACCATCAATAGACACAAACCTCCAAAGCCCATGGAAGCAATGGTAGAAATTGGGCAGCAAACTGATCTAAGGGTGTACTGATGTTGGAGAATGGAGTTGAGGCAAGGCACAGGCTCAAAGCCTCTGAGGGACACATTCTGATGGGTGTTCTTCCAGCCCTTTCCTGGGAACAGGTGCCGGCAGCCTGCTGGGGATGCCCTGGTGGGTCCTGCACCCACAGCTGATCTGGGCTGCGGAGCACTGGGCAGGAAAAGGGCTCTCTTCCCTTTCCTTGCAGACATGGCCAAAGTGATCAGAGTGACCAGCAGGGCCGAAGGATTTGGGGTGGTTTCGGTGGAGTCAAGGAAGCGCCAGTGATCCTGTTTGGAAAGCTGCCTTGGGAAAGAAACCAGCATGGGCTACCAGCTGCTGTCTTCATCCTCACACCTCTGCAGTAGGATCCAGCCCTATAGCTCTGGCCACCCCATCCCCATCTCCTACCCACCCCTTCCCACCAGCAGGAGGGTCACAACTCCCTTCAGGTATCCAGTGTGTGTTTCACCCCAAGCTGTACCTGATAAATTGGGTTGAACTGGAATTAAACACTTCTTCCAGGGTGAAATACAGGTTTTCTCTCCTGGCAGGAGAGTTGGGCTGGTTGTTCACAGTGTAGACAGAGGGAGCACCAAAGTCATCTCCTGTATTCTTGCTTGGCACTTCAGGCCAAATGGAGATGTGGTTTTCTGCTGCACACAGGAAAGGAAACTCTTTCCTCTTATCTGCCTTTTCCAAGGATGCTGCCAGGACTCCTCTGTGCCCAGGAAAAGTTTTGATATTACAGATCTAAATTGATCCTCATGCCAGGAACTGAACCAATATGGATTGTCACACAGGGCAGCAGAGGCACCTCACAGACAAATGGAAGGGCTTAGCTAAATAGTGCCTAAAAATCAGGTGTTGATCTTTAGTGAACTCAGATCTGAAGAAACATCAGCAAAATTACTGAGAAATGTCAAAGAGGAAAAGATCTGGGTTTCTTTACTTGCTATGGTGCTTAGAAGCAGGTAGGGGATTCTTGAACAAACTTTTTCCTCTCCTGGCTGCCACTGAAGGTCTGCAGGAAATCAGTTGGATTTTGAGACATATGGGCAGACAACAAATACATTTTTTTTAATCTAGAAATCCAACTTCAGCCCTTAGACTTCTCCTTAATTCTGTTGGCAGTCCACTGGTAGCTCATCTATGGACTATCCTTTATTTCTCGGCGCAAAATTGATTAAACACCTAAGATGTTTAAGGTGTTAAAAGGCAGGTGTTTTAAGGCACAGAGCCCTCAGCTCACCCTAAAGATGAGGAAGGGTGAATTCCCCTCCCTGGAAACTGCTTGTCCAGTTAGAACAATCCAGACAGCCAGTGCACCAGATTATAACAGCTGGCTTCTGGCATGGCCTCATGTCGATCACTGTGGACATTTTCTGATTTGCAACTAAGGAGAGTAATTTATCTCAATTAACTTATCTTGATGTAAGGATTCCAGTTAGTCTCACTTGCAAATGGTCCACAGTTTGATGCTGCACCTGTGCCAGTTGCAAAATAATTTTCCAGCAGTTTTTCATCAGAAAAAAATATTATTTAACACAAAACACCATCTGTGGGTCTTGTTCAGTTTGCATTCATTGCCACAGGTGTACATAACACTTCTTGGAACTGGCTTCCCACTTCTATCATCCCTTGGACATCACTGGAAAGAAATTATGTCATGCCAAGGAAGTGGTAGAACACCTTAGGAAAAACAAATCAAAATTTAACAAAGGAATTCAGAACCAGGATGTGTGTAGAGCGAAATACGCTTCCAATAAAAATGTAAATAATTTTATAACAGGGTTTTTTTACTTTGATTATTTAATGCCTTAGTGATAGAAAAAGGGATGTTCCTTCTGCCAAAACCTCTTCTGCTTTAAGCCCTCAGAAGAGTTTTCAGGATGCTCCCACAGCTGGTCCACGCTGTCAGACTTGGGCTGCTGGAAACAATCCTTGTGGATATATCCCATTGCTGTATCACATTCCCAATATTTGGAAGTGCCACGGGTGGTGGTACCCTGCAGGCATGAATTGATGTCAAGCTCTGGGTTTATTCCTTTTTGTGGAAGAGGCTTGGTGCATTCTCATTGCTGGGCTCAGGCATGACTTGGATCTTCTGGTTCTTGAGGGCAGCTTCCCTCATCTTGTAATACATGAACTCGTTCTGCTGGAACATGCGCAGCTCCATCTCCGTCTGCACACGCATGACCTGCGGGACACACACAGCAGCTTACAAACCCTGTGACTCAGGGGACCTCAAAACATGTGCCCAATTTCAGGCACTGTCCCCAAGGGATGTCCTAGGCCATGCAGTGACTGAGACACTTTGCCCTCGGTGTCCCACCAGCAGGACCAAAGCTGGCTGGACACAGATATTCTGCTCCTTGCTCACTCTCATTTGCCTGCGTGCTGAAGAAGGCATCAGCCTTTCCCACATCCAGCTTTTCCAGAGGCTACTGGGAAGCCTCATGCTCCAAAAAGTGATGCAGGGCCTAGAGGTGATGCTGGGTAGAGCCAGGAAATGAGTGCACTTCCCATCCACACCCTGGGCCTGTCCCCTGGGGTGGCCCATCACCAGGGTGGGGTCACCTCAAGTGGGAGAAGAGGGTTGCTCAGTCCCACAGCTGCAACCTTTAGACCTCAGGATTCAGCAGCAGCAGTCATTCCTAGTGCTGCATTATAGCAGAGGATCAGAAGGGTTTCTAGGATATATTTTTTCACCTGTCTGTGCGTTTATTCAACCCTTTTTTTAGGAGCACAGAGATAAGCATGTGCCATATATCAGCTATTTTCTTCCTAAAATGTGAAGGGAAGCAAAGAAATGGAGGTATCTCATCCTTTGCCACACATACGGAAACAGTCAACAGGTTTGCTTTAGGTAATAGATATTAATTTTTCTGAAGATATAAAATTGCACCAGTAAAGGTTATAGCTCTGCTATATGGGGACTAAGACATCAATAAAGGATTTCATCTGGTATCCTATAATTTTTTGGGGGGTAATAAAGGAGAATGCTATAAAGCAACCAGGTCACATGAAGTGAATTAGAGTCTAAAGAAATAATAGATCCCCAGCTGCAATTGTAAATAATTCCTCACATCTGAGCAGATGCAATTCCCTGGGATCTCCACTCTTGACTCTGCTAGGAAATGCACCTATCAGTCATCTGAGGAAAAAAAACACACTGCTGCTGAGGAGGAGTGGGGAGTGGTAAATAAAGAAGAATGGACACCAATAAAGAAAATCAGGAGGGAAACTGGGCACACCCACCACGTGTAATTTGATATACTCAAGTTTCAGTGTCATCCATCTGAGAACTGTGAAATCAGCCTGCTGGAAGAATGGGGGGCTCTGTCTTTTGGCACAGCAATTTCAAAGAAGATTCAGGGGCTCAGCTGCCATTTCTCATGTATGTTCTAGTGCAGAATAAAAGCTGGGATGAATTTTCCCTGGAATTTTCAGGGATGAAAATTTCCAATAAGAAAGGATATGCATTTCCCAGCAGAATGTAGCATAATCTAGATAAAACCACAGCACTGGTAAGAAGCAATCAGCACTTAATACATCTCAGCTCTTTTGGGTGGTTGTTTCTATGGCTTGACTGAGAGAACAGAGAAAGACAGGAGATGACACCTACCTCCAGGTCTTTGGTAATGGGGTGGGAAGGTCCATGGGTTATCAGGAGAATGGCATAGGCTTTGCAGATCAAGCCGTGGCCAGCTTCAATGAGGCCAGCGTGCCAGTGTGTCACTCCCGCCCGCATCACGGCCATCCCCAGCTGCGCGTTGTTGGGATGGTAAATTTTCCTGGAAAAACATTGGGTAATTTTAGTTCAGGAGAAATCTGGGTTCCCAAAAGTGTCACTGACATGATGTGTTTGCCAAAGAGCAGATTGTTTACTCAGGTAAAGAGTCTGTTGCAGCCAGTGCCTTTGAAATGTGCCCTTCTTAGAAGGGGGTGGGGACACATTACTCAAGGACAGAGCTGTGCAGTGACATGAGTTATGAAAGATGGGATGTGAACTGGAAAAGTTCAACTCCTGGCTTGGAGAAAGCCAAGCTCTGTCATCTCATGCCAAGAGAAAACCACACTCTGTCAATATTTTGGCACAAGCAGAACACAGATCTGACCCTACAGCTCAGCTGGCACCAGCTTAACCTGACACACTTAGTGGGGTAACAATGCAACAATCACCAGCTCCTCATTCAAAGCAGGAAGAGAAACAGGTGGTTCCAGAAACTCCAGAAATGTTCATCTCACCCTCTGCAGATGCATCCCTTCATCTGGGAATTTTCAGTGCCTAAGGTAGGAAAAATGAAACCTCTCCTCTACATCCAACTTTGAAAGCTGAAGCAGAGTTAGAAGCTGCTTCGACTTAGCTGAAAACTTGCCCTCAAGAGCTTTTTAGGAATTTTGAAATGGCACTTAAAGCAAGAAAGGAAACTACTGAGGTCCTCACCATGGTCTGAAAAACTGAGGAACACAGAGGGGAAGGAATTTTCTCTCAGTCAATTAGCTCAGCACCAGGGCTAGGACATGAAGTTGCTTGTCAGGCCTGCAAGCCAGGGAGGTGACTCTGTCACCCCTCTGCAAAAGAACAAAATATAACAGGCCTTTTGGGGTAGAACTGACCAAAAAGACAAGTAATGAGTGTAATTAAGCTTTTCTCTCTTCTCAACAGTTTCCATTATTTTTCTGTCTTTCCCTTTTTTCCCTTCTGTTAAATACTCATCAGTCCTGTTATAAAACCTCAGTAATGATAAAGCACGTAATTTTTAATGTGAGGTTTACCCTGGATCTAAACCAGAATTTCTTTATTCTCACTCAGCTTTTACCACAGGACTATATAGTGAGCCAAGAAAAAATCCATGTAAAATTCAGGAGTGAGGGGATGTCTTGAGTGACAGCCATTT